CTAAGGAAGGCAGGAGCCTCCCCTGAAATGGAGAATGTAAACCCTCCCCACCCCTCTGAATTGCTATAAATTTTAAATTAAGGGGCTCTCAGGCAAAAATATGGGAGCAGGAAATAACGGTTCTTTAATAGGGAAAAGAAAAAGTATAAAATAAACAATGCAGTCCAGTAGAACAACACTGACAGAGTCAGAACCCAACCTGACACCCTGTGGGTCAGGGTGTTGGTGGCAGTGCCATTGGAAATGTGGCTGCAGTCCTCCTGAAGTGTCAGGGGTGGTTCTGTTGGAGCGAGGGGGTTCTGTAGAGAAGGATGTATTCTTCCTCTGAAGATCCAGTGGAAAGAGAGGCAGCTGCTGCTCCTCTGGGGAATCCCATGGAGAAAGTCGTGCTGGTGTCTCAAAACCTCTGGATTATATCCGAGTAGCAATGCTTGGCTCCTCCCTCTGGGCTCACATCTCCCAGTGGAATGCTGTAGTTCTTATCAGCCATGCAGTGACATTCAATAGCTGTTATCAGCAATGTCCCCTCCCTAGGGAGGTGTGAATGTGGTCACTCAAAGAGAGAAATAAAGCAAACTGCCCACTTGACAATCTGCCATACAGATGGTAATGGAAAACACCTTGCATTGCAATCTTCAACAGGGTCCCAGCCTTTGTGAACTCACTGGTTTAATCTCCTCTTCTTCCCTGCCAGGCTGAGGCTGTCCCCCAGCCCTTCATCCCACAAAGGTGCCTCCCGAAGCCACCTGTCCACTTCGAGCTCCTCCAAGAAGAGGAAGCTGGAGGACAGCGAGAGCCGGACCAGCTTCTCCCACCATGCCCGGACCAGCGGCCGTGTTGGCGTGGAGGAGGTGGACCTGGAGGGCAAGTTTGTCCGTCTCAGGAACAAGTCCAACGAGGTGAGCTTGCCTTTGGTGANTCTGCAGATGTGGCTCTGTCCTCAGTGCTGCAGGAAGGGGGTTCCTGTGTGTGTTCCCCACCATTTTGTGGATGCTGTGATCACTGATGGAGCCAGGCAGAGGAATCGCTGGTGGGGATGGGCTCTGAGCTCTGGGGGCAAAGGCAGGAGCCTCTGGATGCCTCTGTGCTGGGGTCCTGGGCAGGAGGCCCAGAAGGTGAGGGGGAATCTCTGAATGTACCAGAGATTGTGGTGCAGGAGTCCCAAAGGCTGAGGGGACATCTTTGACTGTGCCAAGAGATTGTGGTGCAGGAGCACAGAGGCCAAGGGGACATCTTTGTGCCAGAGATTGTGGTGCAGGAACCCAGAAGGTGATGGGACATCTCTGACTGTGACAGAGATGTTGGTGCAGGAGCCCCAAAGGGTGAGGAGACATCTCTGAATGCGCAAGAGATTTTGGTGAGGAGCCCCAAAGCATGAGGGAACATTTCTGACTGTGCCAGAATTTTGGTACAGGAGCCCCAGAGGGTAAGGGGACATCTCTGACTGTGACAGAGATTGTGGTGCAGGAGCTCCACATGGTGAGGGGACATCTCTGAATGTGAGAGATTTTGGTGCAGGAGCCCCAGAAGGCGACAGCATGTCTCTGACTGTGCTAGAGATTTTGGTGAGGAACCCCAGAGGGTGAGGGGACATCTCTGACCATGCCAGAGATTTTGGTGCAGGAGCCCCAGAAGGTGATGGGACATCCTGACTGTGCCAAAATTTTGGTACAGGAGCCCAGAGGGCATGGGGGCATCTCTGACTGTGCCAGAGATTGTGGTGCAGGAGCCTCAGAAGGGTGAGGGGACATCTCTGAGTGTGCCAGAGATTGTGGTGCTGGAATTCAGAGGATGAGGGGACATCTCTGTGCCAGAGATGTTGGTGAGGAGCCCCACATGGCAAGGGGACATCCTGACTGTGCCAGAGATTTTGGTAAGGAACCCCAGTGGGTGAAGGAACACCTCTGTGCTAGAGATTGTGGTTCTGGAGTCCCACATGCTGAGGGGACATCTCTGTGCCAGAGATTTTGATGAGGAGCCCCAGAAGGTGAGGGGACATCTCTGACTGTGCCAAGATTTTGCTGGAGGAGCCCCAGAGGGCATGGGGACATCCTGACAGTGCCAAAATTTTGGTAGAGGAGCCCCAGAGGTTAAGGGGACCTCCTGACTGCCAAAATTTTGGTAGAAGAGCCCCAGAAGGCGACAGCACATCTCTGACTGTGCTAGAGATGTTGGTGCTGGAATCCACATGGCGAGGGGACATCTCTGAGTGTGACAGAGATTGTGGTGCAGGAGCTCCACATGCTGAGGGGACATCTCTATGCCAGAGATTTTGATGAGGAGCCCAGAGGGTGAGGAGACATCTCTGACTGTGCCAGAGATGGTGGTGCTGGAACCCCACATGACGAGGGGACATCTCTGTGCCAGAAATGTTGGTGCTGGAATCCAGAGGGTGAGGGGACATCCTGACCGTGCCAAGATGTCGGTGAGGAGCCCAGAGGCCCGGGGCACCTCTCTGGGTGCCGGCATGGCAGTGGGAAGTTCGTGCCCAAACTGGGGGGGCCACGCGGGGACTNCCTCCAGGAGCAGATCCAAGCAGGAGCAGGACCCATGAAACAAACCACAGCTGTGCTCAGCCAGAAAGCACCAGGGGAAAACTAAAACGTCCAAGTGTTGAGAGACCCTTGGTCTCCCTCCCATGTGCCAAATCCTATAGAGAGGGGCTGGAAATTACATTCCCAACCCTGTCTTAGAGGGAATCCTCCAGGAGGAGATGGCAGCAGGAGCAGGACCCATGAAACCACAGCTGTGCTGAGCCTGAAAGCACAGCTTTCAGGGGGGAAATGAAACACTGCAGTGATGAGGGACCCTTGGTCTCCCTCCCATGTGCCAAATCCTATAGAAGGAGGCTGTAAATTACATCCCCAGATGTAATTACACCCCAAATTACACCCCCGTGACGCGGGGCCCCAAAAAAAGAGAAGAGACAAGGCTGAGAGGGGATTCCAGCTTCCCACCTCACATCCTGCGTTACCCCTCACATTGGGTAACACCGGCGGTTTCCTCAGCCCCACCACAGCCCCAAATCAAATCTCCAGCCTCTCTGAGGAGCCTCTGCTCCCGTTTCCATCCCCCCCCCTCCCTCCACAGCCTCGGTGGCTGCAGCCCAGGGCAGAACAATGGGGCCGGTCCGAGGCTCCGTGCGGCCCCGTCCCCCTGCAGCCCCTGCCAAGTGGGAAATCCGGGGCAGAGTAACCTACTTTCAGCGCTCTGTGCTCACAAGGAGCCTCTGTCCCAGCCAAGCAAGGTGCTGAGCACAGCGCTGCCCTGCCGGGGCTCCCTTGGGCTGCTCTGGCCATGGCAGAGGCAGGTAAGGAGGTCCCAGCAGGGCAGGATGCTCCTCAGCCTCGTCCTCAGGGATATTGGGGTGCCTCGGGGATGGTGAGCAACTCCAGGGCTTTGGTTTTGGGGGGTTTCTTCCCTACAGCCAGCCCAGAGCAGCCTGGGCTTGAGGATGGAATGTCCAGGGAAAGGTGGGTTTGGGGAACAGCTGTGGGAGCTTTGTGGGGCTGCCCCATGGGGCTGTTTGGGGGTGCCCCATCGGGCTGTTTTGGGGTGCCCCATAGGGCTGTTTTGGGGAGCACTGCTCCCCCCTAGGGGTCTGGTTTTCTGGGTGATGTCTGTCCCCATGGGGCTGTTTTGGGGTGCCCCATGGGGGTGTTGTGGGGGGTTCCCCATAGGGCTGTTTTGGGGTGCCCCATGAGGCTGTTTTGGGGAGCACTGCTCCCCTCTGGGGGTCTGGTTTTCTGGGTGATGTCTGTCCCCATGGGGCTGTTTTGGGGGTGCCCCATGGGGCTTGTTCTAGGGTGCCCCATGGGGTTTTTTCTAGAGTGTCCCATGGGGCCGTTTGTGGGGTTGCCCAGGGGGCTGTTTGTGGGGTGCCCCAGGGGGCTGTTTTGGGGTGCAGGTTTTCTGAGTGATGCCTGCCACCATGGGGCTGTTTTTGGGGAGTTTCTTGCCTACAGCCAGCCCAGAGCAGCCTGGGCTTGAGGATGGAATGTCCAGGGGAAGATGGNAATTTGCTCTGAACCAGGACAGGGGCACAGGGAGGTGAGACAGGCCCACAGCATGGGAGGGGACACAGTGTCCCCCTCTCTGTGCTGTTTGCCTCCCATTCCTGCCAGCTGGACAGCCACCCACACATTGCTGCATCCTGTCCCCTTCCATTCAACCCTTCCCCAGGGTTCCTGCCCCCAAAAGTCATGAGGTTGGGCCCAAAATAGCCCGTTCTGGAGTGATGGGGGAAGCCAGCCGTGCTGCTGGCATCTTCCTGGGAGGAGACAGGCCAGGAGACACGGGGACTGCCATGGGGAACTGCCATGGGGAAATGCAACAGGGAACTGACAGCCTGCATCGCCCCCGTGTCGCCTATGGGGAACACAGAGTCCTGGCAGTGGGAAAAGGCTGAGCTGGAGCTCCATGGGGGCTCTGCACAGCCCCTAGGGGACAATACAGATGTTATGTGTCCCTTACAGAGCCCCATGGGGTCTCTGCACAGCCTCAGGGACATTGCAGAGCCCTGTAAGGACAATACAGATATGATGGGTTCCTTACAGAGCCCTCAGGGACACTGCAGAGCCCTGTAAGGACAGTACTGACATTTTGGGCTCCTTACAAAGCCCCTTGGGACCCAGGCACTCCCCACAGGGTTCTGGCACTCCCTGGTGTGGACTTTGCACAAGCCCACAGGGACGTTTGCACATCCTGTGGAGCCACGTGCAGCCCATGGGGACCTTGCCCAGCCCAGAGGGAGCTGCAGCCCACAGGGCCCTCACACACTCTGCAGAGGAGCCTGTGGTGGATCTCCAGCCCTACTGCAGCCAAAGCACCGACTCGAGGTCAGGTTTGTCCCTCTCCTCCCGTTGTCCCATGGATCTGAGCCCTGAGAGTGTGGCTCAGAGGAGGGAGATGGGGTCCCACAGCAGGGCCATGGCCATGCTGGGGTCTCTCAGAGGCACCCTGGGCAGGCAGGAGCACCAGGGTTTGAGGACCACCAGAATTTTTGGGGGGAAATCCAGCCCAGGAAGCCTTGGAGCAATGACTGGGATGGGGCAGGGCTGGGAGTGACTCCAGTGCCTGGCAAGGCACCAGGGTTGGCCAGGCAGGGCCCAGGGGTGCTGGGGGCCCTNATCCCATCAGAGGGGTTCACCCCCCTTGCATCTGAAGGGGATTTCCCCACCTTCCCTCTGCTGCAGTCATTCAGGCTCATCTCTGGTGGCCAGAGCTCAGGAGCTGTTTCAGGGATTAAGAGAAAGATCTGTTCAGTCCAGGCCAGAGCTGGTTGGCCAAGAAAACACCTAGGAAGGCTTTTTGTTCGAGTGAGGTGGATTTTGGGGTCTGATAGGTGCAGCTTCCCCCTTGGCAGGAGCCCATCCAGCCTTTGGCAAAGATCTCTTGGCTTTTTGCCTGGATTGGGAAACGCCTGCAGCCCCCCCTGACCTCAAGGGCAACAGAGGGGTGGGGCTGGAGAAGGTGCCAGGACAAGCCCCCTACTCCAGTGGGTTTTGGGGTGGTTGTTATGTATCTATGCTTGCAAAGCTTCTGTATTACTGCCTGTACTGTCTTCCTGAGTCAAAATACAGCTGAACCCTTCCCATGCCGTGTGCTGTCATCATTGCTCTCCAGGGGGATTTGGGGGTGCTCTGCTGCACCTCAGCAGCAAAGGGACCCCCCAAGGATCTCTTTTCACCCCCACAGGCAGGGCTGGGGCTCAGCACCCACTGTGGATGGGGGAAATGGGGTGATCCCCTACACAAGGGTGGGTCACTAACAGCTGGGCCAGGGGGTGGAATTTGAGGAAAGAACTCAGAGATTCCTCTTGGGGGTTTTGGGGACCCAAACAATCCCCAGGATGGGATGGGATGGGATAGGAGGCTGGAATTTGAGGTGAAGACCCAGAAATTCCTCTTGAGATTTTTTTAGACCAAACAATCCCCAGGATGGGCTGGGATGGGCTGGGGGGCTGGAATTTGAGGTAAAGACTCAGAGATTCCTCTTGCGGGTTTTGGGGACCAAACAATCCCCAGGATGGGCTGGGATGGGATGGGCTGGAATTTGAGTAAGGCCCAGAGATTCCTCTTGGGAGTTTTGGGGACCCAACAATCCCCAGGCTGGGATGGGGAAATGGGGGCCTGGAATTTGAGTAAGGCCCAGAGATTCCTCTTGGGGGTTTTGGGGACCCAACAATCCCCAGGATGGGCTGGGATGGGCTGGGGAGGGCCGGAATTTCAGGTACAGACTCAGAGATTCCTCTTGGGGGTTTTTTAGACCAAACAATCCCCAGGCTGGGCTGGGATAGGGGCGCACAGAACCTGAGCGGAGCTTTGCTCCTGCCCCTCTGCCAAGGGATCCCCTGTGCCCCCGGGCCGTGCCAGGCACTGCAGCCGGGCAGGACGCTGGGGAGGGGAGCTCTAAAGCCGCNCACAGCTGGGGAGAGGGGTGCACAGCCTCTGCCTGGGGCAGGGTCCATCCCCAGGGCTGAGTGTCCAGCATCAGGAAGCTTGGGGTGCCCCCCAGTGTAACCCCCCCGCCCCATGAGTGACCCTCAGAGGGTTGGGGACAGCACCAGTGGCTGCAGGTGGTGTTGGGGGCGGATGAGAGAATCATTTACTGGCACCCCAGCACTCGATGGGCCGGATCCTCCAGTGATTTTGTCACCCAGCTGGCACCCAGGGTGTGCTCAGGGTCACGCTGGGGGGATGAGAAGCTGCCTCTGGAAGGGACAGGGCATGGCATGGGGGCAAAGCAGGGGATTGGGGGGGCTGGGATGTGCCAATCAGGCTGCAGCAGGGTCTGTGCCCCATGGCAGGGTCGTGCCTTTCCAGCCCTGACTGCGCTGTCACTTCCCTTTCCCCGAGCAGCCATGCCCAAAATTGCAAAAATCCCCCAGTTTCGGTGCCTGCTGGGGATGAATGAGAATCTGCAATCTCTGCCTGTGCCCAAGGGCACCCTGGGGACTGGTGACACCCCCAGTCTGACACTTCGGGGTTTGTAACTCCTCCAGGGTGGCACCCTGGGGCAGTGCATCCCCCAAACAGATGCCCCAAAGCATCACAGGCACAGCTTGGGGGGGAAATGCACCCCATTTCTGGGGGTCTGCAGCTTGGGGATGTCCAGCTCTTGCAGCAGGAGCCGGAGGGGACAGTGGGAAGTGGGGAGCTGGAGGGTGAAGGGGTGATGCTGATACAAGATCTGAAGGGGAAGAACTGCACCCCATTTCCTGTGTGAGATTAAACAGAGCTGCTCTGCTGGCAGCTGCTGCCACATCCGCACATGGAGGATGGTGGGGGGTGTGTGTGTGACCCCTGGGCTCCCCTCACCCCCTCTGCTCCTGCCAGGGGACCCCCGGCGGACCCTCACCCACTTCAGCCAGGACAATGTGTCCCACTACGACATCTTCCTGCTGGATGAGAGCGAGGAGCAGCTCTACGTGGGGGCACGCGACTGGCTGCTGGCCCTCGCCGTTGGCACCCCTGGCAGCATCCGTGCCAAAGCCTCGGTGAGCAGCACCCCTTTTGGGGAGGTGGGAGAGGGAGGTGCCTCTGCTGTGTTTCAGTTTTCCTGTGGGGTTAGGCTCGACAGCCCAGGAACATCTTTGTTTCCTTTATAGATAAGGTGGGGACCCACAGATGTGAAAACATCTGAATGCACTTTTAAGAAGAAGAGCAAAGAGGTGAGCTGGCCCTGTGGGGGGCTCAGGGGTCCCACAAAGCTCTGGGGGTGCTCAGCACCCAACTCTTTCCCCCTCAGACGGAGTGCTTCAACTTCATCCGAGTCCTGGTGGCCCTGAACCAGACCCACCTCTACGCCTGTGGCACCTACGCCTTCAGCCCTGCGTGCACCTACATCGTGAGTGTCCTCCACAGGGCAGCATTCTGGGGCTCTCTGGGCAGCTTGTGGGGTTGTATTTTGTCAGGACCTACAAAATACAGTCCAGAAGAGAGCCCAGGATGGGGGTGCTGAGTGTCCCCCTCAAGGGACATCCTTGTGTGCCATCTGCTAAAGGAGCCCTTGGTGATTCTCATTCAGCTGCCAGCAACTCTTCCTCCGGCAGGGAAACCCCAATTTTGGGTCCCCTCAGGTGACTCCAGGCTCTCTGTCCCTGCCTCAGTCTCCTCCATGCTGAGCACGTGGTGGGGACTGCCGCTCCCCAAAATGACAATGAGGGAAGGTGACAGGAGCCGGGTACCCCCGGCATCCTCTGTCATCATCCCTGCACCCACCTTGAAGCCATGGGCCACCCTATGTCTGCAAGTTATTCCACAGTTATTCCCTACAGATTTGGGGTTGTTTTCGGTCCTTTGGCTGATTTTTCTCCCCTTTTGCACAGCACCTGGAAAGCTTCACGCTGGACAGTGGCAGAGGACAGTCCTTCCTGGACGGGAAGGGCCAGTGCCCCTTCGATCCCCAGCACACTTACACAGCCCTGCTGGTGGGTGAGTATGGGGCCAGTGGCCTCTCAGCTGGGCTCCCATGGAGTGGAGGGCGAGGGTGGGGGGTCCCCAGCATGGCTCAGCCCCCTCTGTGTCCCTGGGCAGACGGAGAGCTCTATGCTGGCACCATGAACAACTTCCAGGGCAACGAGCCCATCATCTCCCGCTCGCTGGGCACCCGCACGCTGCTCAAGACGGACGCCTTCCTCCGCTGGCTCTCGGGTGAGCAGATGGAAGGTGCTGCCCCTGGGGAGGTGCTGCAGCCCTCCATGGCTCCAGCTTCTCACCCACCTGTACCTGCAGCCGACGCCGCCTTCGTGGCCTCCTTCAGCCTCCCTGGGGACGACAAGGTTTACTTCTTCTTCGAGGAGACAGCAGATGAGTTTGACTTCTTTGAGAAGCTCCTGGTGCCACGGGTGGCCCGTGTCTGCAAGGTGTGAGAGCAGGGAATGGTGGTGGGCTGCAGTGGGGGCACAGTGATGGGGTGTCACTATAGGACATGAAAGAACACGAGCGCACACTGCTGCTCTCAAGGTGAAGAAGAAAAAAGGGAAGTTTGTTTTCTGACTTTAGCATTTATGGTTTTCTGAAAGTGACAGTGGATTGGAGGGTGACAGTGCCTCCTCTCCAATGACAGTGGATTGGAGGGTGACAGTGCCACCTCTCCAATGACACTGGACAATCCAACAGTCCATCAAATTTCTCTTCCATAAAAAGAGAAGCTGGTCCCAGTAGGCCATAAAAGAATGCAAAACAATGAGTTATTTACAGAAAGTGTGTGAGAAAGTTAGCTACAAGAATGTCAACATCAGAAAACTTAGAAAATATTAAAAAATCAGAGTGACAATGGGGGATGATGATGATGTGACAGGAGACAATGGGACAGGGACAATCACAAGAGACCATAATGGAGATTATAGTTGTACTGTGGTAGCAATGATGATAGGGGACAATGGCAGGGGACAAAGGGGTCATGTCACCTTGGTGATGAGCACTTTCCTGCAGAGCGATGTAGGGGGGGACAAGGTGCTGCAGAAGAAGTGGACAACTTTCCTGAAGGCACAGCTGGAGTGCTCCGAGACCGGCCACTTCCCCTTCAACGTCATCCACCACGCCTTTGCTCTGCCCCGCCACGACGGCCGCACTGTTTTCTACGCAGTGTTCACCTCGCAGTGGTGAGTGCCCGGGGCTGTTCACCTCATACTGGTGGGTGCCCAGGGCTGTTCACCTGGCAGTGCTTTGTGCCCAGGGCTGTTCACCTTGCAGTGTGAGTGCCCAGGGCTGTTCACCTGGCAGGGCTGAGTGCCAGGACTGTTCACCTCACACTGGTGGGTGCCCAGGGCTGTTCACCTCGCACTGGTGAGTGCCCAGGGCTATTCACCTGGCGGTGCTGAGTGCCCAAGGCTGTGCAGGGAGCCCATGGGCCCGTGCCCTGCTGCTGCCCACTGTCCCTCCCTGCAGGCAGGCGGGCAGGGCGGGCAGCGCCGCCGTCTGTGCCTACCGTCAGGAGGATCTGGAGAAGGTCTTCGAGGGCAAGTACAAGGAGCTGAACAAGGAGAGCTCTCGCTGGATAGTCTACAGTGGCCCTGACATGAGTCCCCGGCCTGGCAGTGTGAGTGATGCCCACTCAGGGGTGTGCTCCCCACCAGGGGACAACGCTGGTCCCCAAGAGATGGGCTCTGTGTATCCCTGTGTGCCCACACTTGCAGGTGGGATGGGAAAGGAGAGGGGGTCCCTCTGCACCCCACTGATGCTGGCCAGGGCAGCGTGGTTCTGCAGCACATCCTCCCCTCCCTGTGTCTCAGTTTCCCTCCCCAGCACAAACTCCTCTGTCCCCCCACAGTGCTCCATGGGTGCCTCCTCGGACAAAGCCCTCAGCTTCATGAAGGATCATTTCCTGATGGATGGGAAGGTGTCACCCCTCCAGAAAAAGCCTCTCCTGGTGAAGTCAGATGTCAACTACACGCGCATCACAGTCCATGAGACCCACGATGTGCTGGGCACCCCGTGCCGTGTCATGTTCCTGGCCACAGGTGGGGTGATATGGGGGGCACACAGGGTCACCCATCCCACCCTCCCCTTGGCTCCAAAGCCTCAGCAATGTCCCCCATGCCCCACAGACAAGGGTTTCCTGCACAAGGCAGTGGAGCTTGAGGGAGTGGAGGGTGCCCACATTGTGGAGAGCATCCAGCTCTTTGCAACACCAGAGCCGGTGAAGAACCTGCTGCTGGCACCAGGGAAGGTAGGGCAGGTGTGAGCACCCAGACACCCAACAACCACCCAAAACCAGCACTGGGGGAAAGCTCAGCCCTGCACCTCTCCCTCCCCAGGGCATCCTCTATGTGGGCTACTCCAGAGGCGTCCTGCAGGTCCCGCTGGCCAACTGCAGCCTGCACCGGAGCTGTGCCGAGTGCGTGCTGGCACGGGACCCCTACT